ATTTTATCAATCAGAGTGGAGATTAACACCAGATTTTTTTTTTTTTTTGCTACTTGTATCAAGCTGGGGGAAAGAAAAAAACAAGACAAGTACCACCACCAAAAAAAAAAAAAAAAGAAAAAAAAAGTGTATAAATATTAATATATGTGTGCTTTCCCATTCCAGAAGTAGAAGAGCATATAATGGCACTGACAGTATACACCACTGGTACAAGAATAGAGCTATGACTACCTGAAGATTGTGAGACACATTTGGAATCTTTGGATAATCACAGAAAATGTACCACAGCTTCACTCATGCACTGCTATAATCTCCACTTCCAAATACTTCACTTAGATATTAATCTTCTCTAATCAGGTTGAAACTGAAGATGAAAAATCATTTAGGACATATCTGATCACTAGCAAATAAAAAGCTTCATTTCTGAAACACTCTTATCCTTAAAAATTGCCATAATTAACATTTTATATAATAAAAATGGTAGAAAATGCTTTCAAAGATTACAAATACTTTGCATTAATATTCAGAAAAACTGAACATTTTTGGAAAACTTTTGTGAAGTACTTAGGATAAATAGTACCCAAGACTTAAACCCAAAATTCCATATCATAATATGTCAAATACTTGTGGCAAATAAAATCAGCCCATATTGCTAATATGAAACTTTTCTCTGATATGATCTATTTAATAGATTATTACAAAGTTTACTACTTTATTTTGCCTTGAGGTAGATGAAAAATAGCTAGTAACGGTAGAACAACATATTATTTCATTCCTGTGTGATTCTCATAGAGAGAAACAAATACACTCTCTGCACTTTTTTTCCATTCTCTTTTTAATTAAAAAAAAAAAAGTAATAATGTAGTAATTCGTATCAGCCTAATTATATTTTTTTTCTAAATTAGGATTTTAGAGATGTATTTCCAAAGCTTTGCCAGTTCAATTGGACCCATTAACTAGCTTCAGAAACTGTGCATAATTCACATAATTGTTCTCCAGGACACTCTATGTATTAAAAAAAAAAAAAAAAAGTCCTTTGAAGAGGTGAGTAGGAAGCTGCTTCAAGATAGAAAAGCTGAACTTAAGCTCTTAAAGTATATAAAAACTAAGTATAAGCAGAAGAAAGTTGAGTTTATCTAGTAAGAAACCCATACTATTTTTCAAAAATGTCTCATTTTACCCTTCAGATGACACAACATCAGAGATGCTGAGTTTCACATTTAAAAGGAATAGCATCTGCTTTTATTTTTTCTCATCTGATGAGCAGCCTATAGGCAATTTCTCCTACTCTCTGTGTAATGACAGTGTATCTTCATTTACCTCACATATTCTACCTGAATTCACTAAACCTGAATATAGTTGGAAGTCAGTTGAGCAGAGGAAAATCTTTGAAAAGGGTAGCCCCTGTCATTCAACATATTAAGGCTATTTCTACACTACTAAATGAAATAGTACCAGAAAACACCCCACAGTACTGCTTAATTTACATATACAGTCTTGTCCTAAATTTTATTAATCTTGGGTTTCCCCCAAGAAAATCACCCTTTCCCCTAAAGGGTGGGAAACCACATCATTCAGTACACTGCTGTATTTAAAACAGCTTAATGATATTTAACCATCAATACTTTTTTTTTCTTTTTTTCAGTGTTTCAATCAATTTAATTTCAAATTGTTGACTACATGTTTAGAACTCTGGAATAAATTAAGAAATTAGGTATATTTTTTTCAAAAATTATTGTATCTGTCTTTACCTCATGATACCAGAAGATTATTCATTCTCATACACTTTAAGCAAAATAATAAAAATAAAAAATAAAGTAAATATAAAATAAATATGAACAAAATAGGATAAATATTTAAGCATGATAATCTAAATTAACATGCATAGTAGAGGCTGAGGATGAAACATTATGTGTCACTTCAGTGGTGTGTCTTTTAGCCATATCATTTATGTATTTTTAATGAAAATGGTATGGAAAAAGTTAGAAGTCATGGTTTATTACTGCATCCTTTTGCTTTTTGCTTGGCCATTCATTGCAGTAGACTGCTGGAAGCCAGATATTTCTTGCTGTACAGAAGAGAGTTTCTGGGTCATGGAAAAGATGACACTGCCTTCATGCCAGTTAATACACATTAAAAGGAAAAGTGCTGAGTACAAAATTAACAGCTGGAAGGTGATATTGGAATAAGCAGAAAAAACCTGGCTAGTGTTTGAGAATAATATGGTCATTAAAGATGGCATAGGTAGAATAATTTAGAATGGAAGAGAAATCAGGAGGTCTCCAGTTCATCAAGGTCAGGTGTGAAATCTGTTTAGGCTGCTCAGGGGTTTATTCAGCTGGTTTATTCAGATCTGGAAAAACCTCCAGGGGTGGGAACTACACAGACTGTCTCAGCAGCCTCTTCCCGTAGAGGGGAAAAAATTCAGCTAATGATCATTGCTCATCCACCTGCCAAGCACTGTTCTTATCAAGCCCCATCTTCAACCAGTCCCCCACCCACTCCAAACTGGTCCTTCTGCAGGCCAATCAAGTACAGCAGATTATATTCACAGGACAGATGCTCCACTTTCAGCCAGCCTGGTGGCCTCACAATGAATTCACTACAGTTTATACATGTATCTTCTGTACTGGGAGACCAAACTGGACACAGTATTCCAGATGTGGTCCATAAGTGCTGAATAATGGTGGATAATCACTTTTCCCAGTCTATGAGCTGTGCTTCAATCTCTAATTCTGTGAAACCCGGCTATGTACTGATATTAGGCTTCTTGCTTTCAGGATTTTAATAGGTAATGTCAAAGAGATGTAAAATGCAATACTGGAAAAAAAAAGGAAGTTTGAATTTTCACACTGAAAATATATAGAGTTCATTGTTATTATTTCATTTATTCCTATAACAATTCATTAGGTTTTCCAATGCACTACTGATTTACTTTAATACTGTAAATTGCTCTGTGCCTTCAGTTATTTTCTTTTTTTCTACATCTTTTCCCCCTTCTCAGAATTTCCTGTTCCTATTTTTTACACCATTTCTTTAGTTTTTTTAATCTCCTGATGATTTTTTTTAGCATATTATTATTTTTATATTATAGTATTTCACCCCTGAATATTTGGGGAAAAAATCTAGTAGAAATATTGAAATGAATATTTAATGTATTTTTTATCAGCGTTAATTTTTTTTTTTTTTGGTGGGAGTTCACAGAGATACAGAAATAAATATTAATTAAGATAACAAGTAAGAAAAAAAAATCAGCTGGAGAGGAAAGAAATAGAAGTTTTGTTTAGCGTAAAGTGAATGATTGCAGACTTTCAGATGCCAAACCTCTGTTAGATGAGTTTTATATCCAGGGTTACCAGGGGGAGCTCTTCTGAAGCAGCTGTACAGGTGGAGCCTCTTCTAAATCTGACTTTCCCACCATCAGGGAGCAGATGGATCTCTGAGCAAAAGTTCACTTCAAATATATATTTTCTTTAATCCTGACCCATCTTAATTGATTGCCTAGAGGGTGCTTGCTTGAAATGTTGTCAGTTCTCATCATGCAATTGAATTTTTTTCAGATATTTTGAATTTTCTGGGGTTTTTTGTCTCATTTTTTTTCTCTTCAAAGACTTCACCTTCTGAAATTAAGTGTTTACAAAAGAGAGACCTTATGCCTATATTTGCAATGTTTTTTTTTTTATTTGCAATAAATAATTTGAAGAAAGAAACACTCTTTCCTGGAATAAAAAAGGCATGTAAAAATATGTACGTAAAAGAAAAGGATCATGACTAATAGTGAGGATCTAACACAGATTTGAGTTAGTAGATTTTGGCATTTCCACAGATATTTTTAAAATTTTATTTGTGTGGGAAATGTGTATTTTAAATAAAGAAGGTAAAATTGATTTGCAAAATTATTAAACCTTTGGATAAGATTGAGAAATAAAAAATCTTGCAGGCATAGGAGGTCACAGGAAAGAAGAGAAAAATGTAAATGCTTTTTTTATTGGTGTAACAATGCTCCATTTCCATCCAATAAAAGGATGAAAGTAGGTACCTGACACAGGCATTTTATATCATCCTTATATCCTTATTCAGCTGGACATAGCACTCAACTTTAGTGTTATTAGGCTTAAAATATCGTTATCCCCATGGTATCAGGTGCTCAAATATTGACAATAAAATTGAAACAGATTTCCTCAGCTAGTGAGCCAAAAGCAAGCTAACAGATAATGTGATACTGATACGTAGTAAAAGATGTGTTAAGAAACGTGGATGGTCCTCCTAAAATGCCTGTAAGCAACTTGGAATATGAATAGCAGAAATGAAACTGAGTTGCACGATCTCATTGCACAGGTGGATAATGCTAAAATGGATGCACATTTATTTGTTAGTATCAAATTGTATTCCTATGAAGCCAGATGGAAAATAAGATTAAAAAAAAAACCTGTTATCCTCTTAAGAGGAGCAAGGAGAAAAATTAATCCAGCATAGGTAAAAGCCACTATAATTAGTAAATTTGAACAGGATGTAGAAATTCAGACCAACAAAAAAAGAGGGTAAAACTGTGTTAGAAAATATACAAAAAAATATTATCTTAAGTGGATCTTACAGTGAGGAAGAAGAAACCATCAACTTGCACGTTATATTTCACTTAGTGCTAAAGGTGTCCAGGAGCTGACAACTCACTGGAGCTGCCCCCAACACCACTATGATCAGAATGAAACCACCAATCTCAGAATCCAGAAAAGGGCAAGGGTGAACATAGTAAAAGTAAAGGGGTAGAAAGGGTCTATATATAATTTGAACTATGTTGTTATTCTTTCTTTTTCTGTAACAATTTGGTATGAACTAGTAGGCTAAAACTCTTAAGATTTCAACCATAAGGATTATAAAAACTACTTATTGGCTTTGTTTAAGCCACTGGGTATATGCAGATTGCCTGGGCATACATGTGAGGAATCCCTTATGGACAAATGCCTGTAAGGTATCCACCATAAATTACAACAACACAGGGTAACCAACAGAGAAAAGCCTAATATTTTTTTTTATTTTATTTTTAATTCTAAAGTACCTTAACTTCACCTTTGCTCATCTCCATCAGCCATCCAAAGTGCATATCCTGAGAAGTCTCTGCTTCTGTCTGAGGAGAAAAACTTGTATCCCTCAAGGTCAGGACATAGGGACCTTATTTTTTTAGGACTACACCTATGTAGGACTGAGGTGCAAATTTTTAGTATCTAGTGAAAGAGATGAGACAAACATCCACAATTAGGTAATTTTTCTCATTTTTTACTCTCACGGGGTTACAGGAACTATTATAGTTGCCTTTAGCTGAGTTTCCAGTTTCCCTGTCTAATCACTGTCCCTATATCTTACCACATTCTTGGTGGACTGACACTTTTGAAGGAGCTGTGTGACGCTGGAACAAGGAATGGTATTTATAGAGCTTTGGGGAGCAGAACAGTTCTAAGAATGCTTAGAAACAGCAACAAAACCCTGAGCCATTCTTCTGAGGAAAAAATTACATTTTTAAACTGCTAGTGAAGTCCATAGGGCGATAGCAGGTTCCAAGGAGACCTCAAAAGGTGTATTTCAGATAAAGGCATTCTAAATTTCTATCCCAGCTATGCTGTCATGATGCAGACATAAAAAAAGGTAAAAATTTCTAGAACTAGAAGAAGCAACTGAATTACTTGACATGAAAGTTTAATAATTTTTCAGGCACAGATCCTGGATGAAAATATTTAGCTTGAATGTTTAGACATAGATATAGAATCTTCAAAACAAGAAATCAGGAATATGAAAAATGTATCCAATTACTGAAGGTTGAAAAAAATACTTTAGGAGTAGAAAATTTCAAATTACAAACCAATTTCAGGTGCATTTACAACATCTGCAGTCAGAAGTAGGAGGTTTGTGTTTCTAAATGATATGACAAAATTTGCCATAGAAAGCATGTGCAGCAAAGTCAACTATAAAATGACCTTTTGAATTCCAAGTGCAATTTAAATTGTAACCCATCTTCCTATGTAACTATAAAGGCACAGCTATTTTTAATAAATGTCTGGAAGCATCTGAATCTTCTTAGATAGTTCAGGCTCTGTATTTAATGGATAAGATACATTTTTATAAAGAATTCTAGATGAGATTCTGTTGCCCTAACTATTCTCTCTATTCTGTAAAAAGACTAGAGAAATTTACTTGGGCTGACTATTGCACTACTTTTTGGAAAATTTGATCACAAGTTTAGTAGATACCCACCCCAATTGATTAAAAAATGCACACTTATATTTCCAATGATGACTGAATCAATTTTGAATTAAACATTGCAGAGTTTCACAAACGGCTGGCACATTCATTGCTTCATGCATCCCAGGAAACTGACACTACTTGACATTATATGGTTAATTAAAAAAATGTTATAGCATCCTTTGAAGCAATAGAGGATAAAAAAATCTGGTCTGATATCTACAATACATGCTCTTGATAATTTCTGAAATGTTCCGATTTTTTTTTTTTGTTATCTACTACAGAATCATAGAATGATTTGCATACCACATTCATGATATTTGTAAATCCATTTGTGTAACTTATTTTTGCATTTATTTTTCAATATATGGGATTATGCCATCATTTTTGGATAAAACGGTGTTAGGATTCTGGAACAACCTTATACTGAGGTTGTCAGAAACTCAGTTTATTTAAAAACATAACGGATCCAAGACATCAGATTTATGTTTCCTGTAAATTTGTACTACATTTTAAAATTATCTGTTTGCTTACTTTGTCTTCTTCAAATACTGATTTATTTGAATTTCAGATTAGTGGACATACTAAAGCTAGTTACTCAGCTGGCAGATTGGCATATGAAAGACTATTTTGCATATGAATAAATGTAATTACCAATTTTTATCCAAATCTAAATTTATAATCTCAGTTCTAACCAGATTTTATACATATGCATTACTTTTCAATTTTTGATATCATTATAATTTATTTTCTTCTCTTTCCTATCCAAAAATAGTCTATAGACATTCTAAGAGTTGGAAGTAATGTAAGTATTTTGGAGTTGCAGTGCATATGCATGAGTACAGGTTGTGGGCTGACCTGCTGGAAAGCAGCTCTGTGGAGAAGAACTGGAGATTCTCAGTGGAAAACAGACTGACCATGAGCCCAGCAGTGTGCCTGTGTGACCAAGAAGGACAATGGTGTTCTGCATTAGGAATGAGCACTGCCACCAGGTCAGCAGAGGTGATCCTGCCCCTCTACTCACCCCTAGTGAGGCACATCTGGAGTGCTGTGTCCGGTTCTGATCTTCCTTGGTACAAGAGAAACCTGGGGATCCTGGAGAGGGTCCAGAGAAGGGTGACAAAGATGGTTAAGGAACTGGAGAATCTCTCTTACAAGGACAGGCTGGGGTAGCTGGGCCTGTTCAGCCTAGAGGAGATGGTTGAATGGGGAAATCATCAGTGTCTATAAGTATCTGAAGGGAAGGTGTCAAGAGAATGGAGCCAGGCTCCTCTTGGTGGTGCCAAGCAATAGGACAAGAGTCCCTGGGCAGAAACTGATATACAGGAAGTTCCACCTAAAAGTGAGGAAGAACTTCTGCACTGTGCAGTGACCATGGAAATCTCCACGGGAAAATATTATCCAGAGAAGGTGTGGAGTCTCCCTCACTGGAGATATTTAAGAACCATCTGGATGCAATTCTGTGCCATGTACTCTGGGATTACCCTGCTTGTGAAAGGAGGCTGGACCAGATGATCCACTATGGATACTTCCCACCTTACCCATTCTGTAATTCTGTGATATGACCTCATAACAACAGTCCCACTGCTGGCATCTCCCCCTCAAATCCATGGGTGTTCCCAGTGGAGCCCGGCCAGCTGGGCAGTTGGGGTGAGGCGGGCAGAAGGAAGGGTTTCTCCTTGAATCCTGGAGGGCCTGGAGAAGTCCCATGTGAGTCCAAAGACGAGCTAGTCCCACAAGCGAAGAAAGAGGTGCTCTCCCTTCAGGATTGGTTCCAAGGTTTATTCATGTAACCTCGAAGGAGGTCTGAGCGAGAGAGGGTGTGTGTCCCCACACAGACTGGCCAGATATAGGGGGTGGGGAAAACCTGACCAGCAAATGGGGGAAGGACATGGAGTGGCTCTCTGGGGGCAAAGCTTCAGAGTGACCACTGAGGATGGGGTGAGGGAGGGGTCCCAGCCAGAGTCCAGTTACCTGGTGACCCTGGGAGAAGGGTCTGGACAAAGGGGAGTAGTCAGCAGGTGATGGACACATCACCGGGGAGGAGACAGGGGGATGGGTTGGGGTTTGATGGACACACAGGTACTGATGGGAAAAGTGGGATGAACCAAACATACAGAGAGGGGATACACAGTGCAAACACAACTCTACATCCCACAAAATAAAAAGCATGCATTATCAGTTGGAAACATAACGCTACCTTAGAGCTCACTATCTCTGGGACATTCAAAAGCAGACAGAGTGCTGTTGAACAAAATAGTGATTTTTTTTTCTTGTGAGGGAGTTATAGCCAGGTGACTTCTGCTTTCAGGCCTTCATACTGTTCAACTGATGCAATATGCCCATGATGCAAACCGATCAAACTTTTAGAAAGTCAGACAAGTTAATTGGCAGTTGTGGGTCGCACTGGTAATAGTATCAATACTTTGTCCTTGACTTTTATAGCCTTAAGCCAAGAAAAATTTGGCTGCACTGGTGAAAATGACCAATTGCAATTGTGATAAAAATTATTTTTAATAAAAATAGTGGTTTTATTAATAAATTATTTTAATAAATTAAAAAATAAATTTTCATTAAATTATTTTTAATAAAATATATACACATTTAATTTATAGTTTAGTGATGTTTTTCAATATGTTAATATAAGCCCTCCCAGCAACTGGCTATCTCAGTTGTTTTTATCTGTTTGTTTTAAAGAAAATGCAATTTTACAATAACTTTACTGAGAATCCAGGGAAGGAGTAGTATATCTATTTTCATTTGATTTCAAGACCCTAAATAATACAACAATGTTAAATGGTACAATATGCATTCATTGTGGGCAGCAGGCTGACATACAGAATGCATTATTATACCTTGGAGATATGGTTTCTGTGTGCTAATGGTATTTCAATAAGATAGACTAAGTTGCATTTCAGAACCTGTACCTCTCTTGAGACCCATTTTAAATTATGAACTGCTTTGCCATCAATATGTGAAAAATATGTGACAAGAGTCAAGCTTTTATGGCACATTATCTTTGGACTTCTCCTACTCTGGCGTTATCCTTGTCACACATACCTGTATGTAACTTCCAAAAATACTTGATGTTCATTGCTTTTGGAGACCTCATATTTCTACTTGAAGCTATGGCATAATTAAATATTTTCTGCCTCACAGTTTTAAGGTCATTTTGTTATCCTTAATAAATATTTTACTAATGATGTATTCTTAGGAAAGCAACAGGAAAGCCCTGATCCACTCAAGTTATTGCTATGCAAGAAATTACCCTATTTCAAACCCAGCTGAGTCCTACATTAAGCTGATTCCTTATATCTGCTTGTATTAGCCCCAGTCCTGTGAATGCTGATGTGGGGCACCTAGTCCAGGCTTTAGTCCAAACTCCAGGTTGCTCTGCTGCCCAAATGTAGCTCACATTCTAGGATGGCTACAGGACAGGTAAATGCTGTCTTTTTCTTGTCTCTTCAATGGAGTCTGTCCCTCTTGTCATGGTTTGATGCTGGCACAATGCCAGCGCCCCATGAAAATACAACCTATCAATCGAATGCTGTGAAATGCGATCGGGAATGGAGCAAAGCAGGCCAAACTTAATAACAAAGGAAAAACTTTATTACACTACTACTACTACTATACAAAGAAAAGAAAGGAAAGGAAAAAGACCACACAAAATTCAAAATGAAAACCTTCCAAAACATTCCTCCTCCCACCACCCAACTCCACAGCGAGACCCATTTGGATCCTCAATCAAGTTTTCACCCTTCAAGATAATCAATACTGAATCCATCGGGGAAGAGAGGAGTCCCCCTTGCACCATAGACCCCCAGGAAACACAGCTGCCACCTCTTGTGTTTCCAATGCCACACGTGGCACTGCCCAAACACACCGGCCAGTGTGACATTCTCCTCTCCATGTCACAGTGCTCTTACCACCATGCATGGACAGAGACTGCTTATAGGGCCCCTTTAAGGATGCTTCGCCAAGGACCACCAGGAACAACAGTCCAGTGTCTCATTTTGGGACTACAGTCCCCCCCATTTTCTCCTGGGGCCAAGGATCCAAGAACAGAGATCGCCTTCTCTTCTTCTCTGAAGGCGGAGGGCATCCTCACACCCTCTTCAGCTTTCTCTGTTCATTCCTGAACTGGTAGTTGCTGAAGAAGGTCTCTTGGCTCACCAGTGCATCCCTCTAAATTGCAGTCCCTCTTTAAAGAAGGAGTGGTTCAGTCTGTGGTTAACAAGAAGAGTCCAGCTGAAAGCCACTCCATCATCTCCCCCCAACCTTCTTCTCTGAACATCTGAGGTCCCGGGCTGCCTCTCCTTCCTTCAAATTGAGGAGGAGTAATATTTTATAAAGCCTTCATTTCCCAGGAAAGGGTTAAAATTCCCGGACTCCCCGGACAGCTGAAATCTGGCCCAGGACTCCATCTCCTGTCTCCCATGCTGGGCATCTTCCCCCCCCTTCTCCTTCTCCTCTGCCGGCAAACTCCTAGGTGTCTGCAGGCTCTCTATCTCTTTTCCCTCTAGCTTAGGGGAGGGGGAACAAAGACATCCCAGATGTTCTCCACCCTTCTGTCCGCAGGAGCTGGCCCAGCTCGGTTCCGGATCCTTCACCCCCTGGCCTACCTCCCCAGGCCACATGGCTCCCCTCCCCAACCCAGCTCAGGTTGGGGGGGGAGGTCCGTACTTTGTGATGACCGTAACCAAAGAAGAGCGAGTTCTCCTGGGAATTCCGTTTTTAACCCCTCTGTGTTCTCAGAGGCGTGTCCACCTTCAATTGGTCACCCCAAGTGTCAGTATCCAAACCTGACCCCTGACTGGTGGACCTCTTCCTTCAAAAAAATAATTCTCTTCCCGTGTCAAACCACGACACCTCTGGCTATGGAACTCCTGCTTCCAGCTAATTTAAACCCTTTTGTAGGTGGGCCTTCTCATTCTCCATTCCAGATTTATTTTAGTGTCACAAATTACCACTGCTGAGAACTTACAATTTGAATTTTCCCATCAATAAGTGAACAACCAGCTTAAATGAATCATAAATCTGTCAATCTATTATCACAGGGTGTCATATTGCCAATTTTGTCTATGCCTAGTGACAAAACTGTAGATCCATTTAAAGAATAAACCTTGCCAAAACATTAAAGTGCTGTTTCCAAAATCTAAATTCCAAGAAGTTATCTCTCTACCTCACCACACAGTTTTATATGATGATAGGAGGTCAGCAAATTAGCAGCACCTACGCAGCGAATATGCCATATGCCCTTTACATCTATAAAGGGTTGAGGAGAGGTTTTCTAATTCCACAATTAAGGCATTGACCAGAAAGGGAGAAATAACAAACTGCCTAATGCTAGGACAGCATTGCAAAAGAAGGAAGAAATCCGGAGAGTCCTAGAATTCCAGCTCTGACACAGTTGTTGCTATCTTCCAATTCTTTTAGGATAATGTCCAGAATTTACTTCTGTGGTTAATTAATAACATTATGAAATAAACGAAGCAAATAAATTATGAGACTCTACTACATCAGCAAAATAGTTTGAATTTTTTTCCTTAAAAGTAGTGCAAGCTACCCTGAGGTTTATCACTGACCAAGAGGTATCTGTAGACTTGAATTTAATTTTATATCCCGTTGGCTTTTTACACTTATTCTCTATTTTTCTGCCTATTATCTATTCAGACTGATGCATACTATGTCATTTCTAGCTCTGCTATACTCCTCCCTGTGATCATTGAGATCCCCTGTGCTTCTGTTCCTGCCCTCTAGCCCTGCATCTGATTCCCTGGCAGCTCATTGAAACTGCAGGTCTTCACAATTTAAAGGGATTTTTCATAAAAGTAGTGGAGGAACTGCTACATTAAACACAACATCAGCATCCTACTGTCAGTACCTAATAATACAATACATAAATGGTACACACATAGAATCCAAATAATATTTTAATATATATTTCTAGTAAAAGAAAGCTGCTTCTGAAAAATTAGTAATTTTTATTCTGGTGTCAAGTATGTCTTTCTGAATTTTCAGGAACTTTCTCTTCCATTCTTCTGAGAACAAGTCTAAAATACAAAACAACCAACCAAAAATATAAAACACACAAAAAATATACTACAGGAACATTTTGTAAGCTTATTTTAGAGAACTGAATTCTAATAGTCAATGCAAAATATAAAGTCCCTGACTTGAGTTTTTCTTCTTCTCCTACCTAGGTGTGGTTAAGTACCTCAATAACCTGTCAAGAATTCCAAGTAGATTGTATGTTACAATTTAAAAGTGCTGAATTCATCAAAACTTTTTTTGGAAATTATGTAAAATAGTCAATGAAATATATACATAATTCTGGTGACTGTGAAAAGACTCCATGAATTAGCTTTCTACACGAGATCTCAGGGAAGCTTTTTATATATCAGAGGTAATTGCTGTATAACACAGAGCTTACTGCCAAGAGAGACCAGGTGTTGTAGCTGTTGGGGGAAAAAACAAACCCAAAACAGTGTCTGATGAAGGCTTACTGGATCATAAGCTAATGACAGTAAATAAAGACCTAACTGACATTTTATACTACTCCAAATGTCTGAAGTCTCA